CCGAGGAGCTGCGGGCGGGCAGCCGGAGCACTGAGGTGGCGTTTGCCTCCCGCAGAGCGGAGCTCGCATCAACATCTCGGAAGGGAACTGCCCCGAGCGGATCATCACCCTCGCGGGACCCACCAACGCCATCTTCAAAGCTTTTGCGATGATCATTGACAAACTGGAAGAGGTGTGTCTGGGCCCCCTGCAGTCACTGCCCCCGTTTATCCCCTCTCTCTGGATGAGCTGACCCCGGCACGAGCCCCAGGGCCGTTGTTCCGCGCGGGCGGCTGGCGTTTCCCCGCCGGGCCCCCGATCTTTGTCCAGCCCTGTGCTGGGGCAAGGTCCAGGCAGTGCTGGAGCCAGAGCCCCACAGGGACTTCCTGCCCACAGCGTGAGACCAAGCAGGGCTTGGAATTGCCCCAGCTCTGCTCATGCTGGTGCCACTTGCCCCCAGGACTGAGCTCTGTCCCCAGCCCTGCCAGGGAGGAGCTGGCACTGCAGCTGTGTGGGGCTGGAGGAGCTGCATTGTATCCCTGGTCCTGTTAAATCGGTGACTTCCAGGGCAGCTTTTATTGCTGGATAACCTGGATCTTGCAGGTGATAGGGTCTGCTCAGGACTGTGATGTCAAGATTTCCATCTTGCTCCAGGTTGGAGGGAGCAGGAGTTGGGAGAGCTCCTCGCCTGGAGTGGGGCAGAGCTCTGTGGCCCTCACCTTGCCTGTGGGGGTACAAATTCAGTTGCCCTTTGGATTTGGGACACTACCCAGGGAGAGGCAGCCCTGCGCTGGCAGCTCTGTCCCCAAACCCCGCTGCCCTCACCGCAGCCTTAAAAGCTGCAGAGCTTGGAGCTGTTTGTGCCGAATGCAGGGAGCCAGAGTCCTCCAAGGGCTGCACGGCTCTGCAGCGCTCCTGGGCACCGGCCTTGGAGCTGAAGCTTTGCTTTTAGTAGGTCAGTTGAGCCCTGGCCTTGTGCCTCCCCTCCCCCTGCCAGCACATGACCGTTGTAATCGGCGCCGGGATTGTTTTTCCCGGAGCTGCTGCCTTGATCCCTGGTGCAGCGGGAGGCTCCGTGCTGACCCTGGAGCCGTGGAGCCCCTGAGCCCCCCCGTCCCCCTCCAGCACCGGCTCCTGCTTGGCTGAGGTGGGATCCAGCCTGGAGCAGTGCCTCAACCCATTTCCTTTTAGACAGAATTTGGCCTCTGCTTCCCCAAAATACATCTGTTTTCTGTGGGCTGCCGAGGAAGTCCTGGGAAGTGGGACTGGGAAAGCCCCGAGGTCACCTTGGCCTGGGCCGCTGGTGCCAGCGTCACCTCCCTGTCCCTGTGCCAGGCACGTCCCCAGCGCGTGCCATTCTTCAGGGCTGAGCCCTCAACACCTCCTCTTCCTCGCAGGACATCAGCAGCTCTATGACCAACAGCACAGCTGCCAGCCGGCCTCCGGTCACCCTCCGGCTTGTGGTCCCTGCCAGCCAGTGCGGGTCCCTCATTGGCAAAGGAGGCTGCAAGATCAAGGAGATCCGAGAGGTGTGTGGTGCCCGGCTCGGGGGGGATCAGCTGTCCCCAAGGGCAAATCCCTGCGTTGTCCCCACCCCAGGGATGTGGCATCACTGGGAGTTTTTGGAGCTCCTTGTATTTTTAGTGCTTGGCAAGCTGGGACTCGAGGCAGACCCTTCTCTGCCCGGGGTTTCCCTCACAGCTGGATGGATGCCTGGGTTCTAACCCCACCATTCCCATGGCACCTGACTGCCTCCTCCCCAGCCTTCTCCCAGATTTTGGAGAGGGAGATGTGATCCAGGCCAGCACTGCTTTGGCCATCCCGTTTAGCACTGGGTGCTGTTGGATTAACCCTGCTGGTGTGAGAACTGGCTTGAGTTACAGGGACAGGCTGAGGCCAGGTCTCCTCTGCCACCTCAGGCCCCCGGTGACCGAATTGTATCCAGCTGGGATTAAAGGACTTTATTTTGGGGGACAGGAGGAGCTGGGGGGGCAGTTGTGGCTATGTATAACCACGCGCGGGGTTCGTCGTTGAGGTCTCAGCCCTGCCCGGGGTCTGACGGGCTATTTTTAACCCTGGACTTGGCAGAGCACGGGGGCACAGGTCCAGGTGGCAGGAGACATGCTGCCCAACTCGACTGAGCGAGCCATCACCATTGCTGGGATCCCACAGTCCATCATCGAGTGCGTCAAACAGATCTGCGTCGTCATGCTTGAGGTAGGGCCCCTCCTCGGGCCCGTCCCTGGGCTGCTGTTGCTGTGGGGGATCCCGCTGCCCTTGGAGGGCTGGAAATGCTGAGGGGGGAGAAGGAAAGAGATGCTGGGGGATAAAGGGATAGCTGGGGATTACAGCCTCATCCAGGTGAGGCTTGGAGCTGCTTAGAACCGGGGTTGAGCGGGGCCTCGAGGGCAGCTCGTGGTGTCACCCACGGCCCTGCCGTGCTCCCAGGTGCCCTCCCTCGGCCCCGAGCCCAGGATGGGAAGTGGCAGTGCCCCGACTCCCCAAGGGGCAGCTGGGGGGGCGGGCTGCGGGGAGGGGGCTGGCACAGCCGCGCTCGGTGTCTGACCTGGCCTCTCTGCTGTCATCCAGTCTCCCCCGAAGGGTGTCACCATCCCGTACCGACCCAAGCCATCCAGCTCTCCTGTCATCTTTGCAGGCGGCCAGGTAAGGCCTCTCCTGGGCTCCTGGGGTGCGGGGTGGGGAGGGGCGGGGGTCGTACGGAGCTGCTCCGCGTGCCCGTC